AATATATAAAATTTGTGTGTCAGACTTCGTGGCTCATTTGCTAATAATATCAAACCTTTTGCAAGTACTGTTGGTACTTCCATTTCATCTTCAAGGATCAAATCATTACTAATCCATTTTACTTCTTTTTTATCATTATTCCACTGTCAAGATTTATCTTCTTTAAAGATAGCATCTCTACTCATGATCACCTTCTATGTGATGAGATTATACAACTTGTATCTCATCCTTCTATTATTATATCCGACAAAGATGCATTTCTCGCTTTTATCATCGAGTTTGGTCCTTTTTGCATCTGGAATCTTTGTATATGCCACACAACCAAAGACTCCCAGATGAGTAACACTTAGTTTGTGACCACTCCATGCTTCTTTAGGAGTGACAGCTTGCAAACTTCTGGTTGGGCAGCGATTCAGTAGATACACTGCACATGATACAGCTTCAGCCTAGTATTATTTGGGCAACTTTTTCGCTTTGAGTAGACTTCTTGCCATGTATAAAATTGTTTGATTCTTTTTCTCAACTACATCATTTAGCTGTTATATATAAGTTGGTGTTGTCTAATGTCTGATGCCTTATTGTGTACAAAAGGCTTCAAAGTTATTTGCTATATATTCTGCACCTTAATCAGATCTCATGATTCTGATTTTATAGTCACTGTGGTTCTCAACAATTGCTTTAAAATCTTTAAAATAATTGAATACTTCTGACTTCCTCTTCAGAAAGTATACTTATGTTTTTCTGCTAAAATCATTAATGAAAGTAAAAAAGTACTTATTTTTTCCAGTTGACATAGGCTTTATAGGACCGCACACATTTATATGCACTAACTCCAATGGCTTATTTGCTTTCCAATTGACTTTTTTAGCAAAATTGGATCTGTGATATTTACTGAGAACACAACTCTTATAAACTTTATCTGGATGATTAATGTGTGGCATACCTTTGACTATCTTCTTACTTGCTAGCATCTTCAGACTTGTAAAATTTAGATGTCCAAGTCTTAGGTGTCAAAGTTAGTCTTCATTATTGGTGATGACACTCAAACACTTTGCGGCAGCATATTGAATGTTTGTAGGAAACATCTTATTCTTGGACATCTTCATATGACAATTAATCTTCCACTGTAATCTTCAATTATTATATTACAGTTCTTCATAAGAAGAATGTAACCTTTCTCTAGAAGTTGACCTATACTCAGCAAGTTATGTTTAATGGCTAGAACATAATAAACATATGCAATGTAGCTATGATTGTCATTCTTTAAACGGATTGAGATGCTGCTTTTTCCTTTCACTGGAACTTTGGAGGTGTCTCTATAAGTGACTTGACCTTTTATAGTTTCATCTAAATCTTCAAATATATCTCATTAACCACTTATATGATTGCTAGCTCCAGAATCCAAATACCATATATTTTCCTACCTTATTGGACTAATAATGCAACTGGTCCTCTGATGATGGCATCCTCATCTGCATAGTTGGCTTGTTCATGTATCTCTAATGAAGCTTTCCTTCAACATTCATTATTATAGTGCTTAAATTGATTGCAACTATAACACTGAATATTTCTCTTATCACGGTTATTGTAACCACCTCCTTTTTCTCTAGGAGTAAATGTTTGTTATCCCCAGCCTCCTTTAGTAGTGTTTCTATCTCCTCTTCCTCTGAATCTTATATTTCAATATTCTCTTTCTTGAAATTACTGAAATTCTCCTCATCTATGTTGACTCCTTCCTTAAATGGTATATCCACTTGTTGAAATCTTCCTGCCCTTCTTGAGAGAAAACTTTGATTGTAAGACATGCTCAATTGCCTTATCTCCATTTCTTTTTATAATCTTTTGCTCATGAGCTTGCAAAGAACTCATAAGGTCATCAACTATCAACTTTTCCACTTCTTTGGATTCTTCAATAGCAACAATAACAAAATTAAATTTTAGATATAAGGATCTCAAAATTTTCTTAGTAATTCGAGCATTTGAGAGGACTTCTCCATTTCTTCTCATCTGATTGACCATCACCATAATTCTTATGTGATAATTAGAAATAGATTCTGATGACTTTATTTGCACTGATTCAAATTCACCTCGCAAAGATTGAAGACGAATCTTCTTAATTCTAGCAGCACCTTTGTATTTTTATTGGAGAGCCTTCCATATTTCTTTTGAAGTTTTTGCGGAAGCTATGATCTCAAATGTGGCTTCATCAAGACCTTGATAAATGATGGTCTTTGCTTTGTTGTCTTTTTTTCTATTGGCTTTGAGGACTTGCTTTTGTGCCTCTAGTAGAGCATCTTCTGATTCTTTGGACTCTGGTTCCTCATAACCATATTGCACAATGTCTATACACTCTTGTGAACCAAGGAATGCCTTCAATCTGATGCACCAACTATCACCAATTATCATAGTTATCTTTGGTTAGCTTCGGGATGGGTGTTTATCATTTTCTATAGTTATTTTGCTCTTTAAATGACTATATCACTTTCTAGGAGCTGAATTTTACAAAACAGACACTGTAGATCAATCCAGAATGCTCAAAACAGTAGAGAATTGGTCTGAATTTGTTGAAAATGAGTCAGAAATGGGTTGAACTGGTCAGAAAACCGATTATGTATGTCGGGAGGTTCGCTGGGGCTGAACCAGGAATATTCTATGTGGCTCGGCTTGCAGCTCGGCTGAGGCTAGGCTAGGCGGCTTATACGACTCGGCTTATACTGCCTGTACAGCTCGACTCTGCAGCTCGACTAGGCTGCTTTTACGGCTCGGCTGGGCGGCTTCTACGGCTCGGCTGGAAGGCAACTTGTACAACTCGGCTTGGCTTAATCTATGGTGCGTATGTGGCTCAGTCATCGTCTACCTCGGGGCGCGTGGCTCTGTGTGGGCTATAGTGGTGGAATTTTCAGGTGGCGTATGTGGGCTACCGCGGGGATCCGATGAAACTGATTTTTACATCAGTGAGTTCGTATGGATGAATACTACACGATGAAATGATCAAAAATAGTTTTAGACAACTTTGAAAAATCAGATGTGTCCCAAGAACACCTCTGTTTTCTGACGAACAAAGCTCTTATATCAATTGTTGATGGGAGAAACTACTGGTGGTAACTTTAGAATATTTAAAGAGATAAAACACATGGTTTTATTACAAAACAAAAACTTACAAAATACAAACATACACTCTTAATACACATTCTCTTTTTGTTTTTTATATTTCTCTCTTCTTTTTCCCACATTTAATAATATAATCTTAATAGTTTATTTATATATAAATTTAAAAGGTAGGAGGTGATGGTGGTTGGAGGTGATAATGATTAATAGTAGATAATTGATGATGATTGATATTAAATAATTGTAGATGGTAATTGATGGTTATCGGTGTTACCACGAGATTTCTCAGAGTCTTCAGTTTCCGAGAGACAAAGCAAGCCGTTACTGGAACCCACAAAGTTGCCCTTCTCGGAAGTCTTTGGGAGGTCAAATTAGGTTGGCATACTCAACCTGGCATTATTAATATTAATTACTGCTGCTAAGGCTATATATGGATATCACAATCGTATTGTGATTTCTTATTCCCTGAATAAGGAGTTGAAACCATGTCACGCCAGGATCTGCAAACGTTTTTGCACTGCATCATCGTGTTGATAGGGAGTCTTGCAAGAATGCCCAGGAGGAGTTCTGGTGGCAATTCTATCATCAGTCTGGATGGTGATTCTTCAACACCCATTCTCTCTTGTTGTAACCAGCTGGTGGTTTCCATTGTATATTAACAGAAAAGCTACTTGTGAGCAGTGATAGGTAAACTATTTGGGTATGTAAACAAATAAACAATTGGTTTTGAAGTGTTAAAAATTGCTTTTAATGTATTTATTTATCCCATAAATAACATTTTTAAAATAAAATTAAAGAAAGAAAATACATTTTTTTGAATATCTTTTTTATGTAGTGATGAAATATTATGATTGTTAATAAAAATATATGATTAATTATGAAAATTAAAAGAGAAAAACTAACAAAATTAATTTAATTTTGATTGTTATATTTTTATTTTTTTTATAGTTCAGATTTGTTTCTTATTCTTTTGATTGTTTTATATATATATTTATTATTTAATTTATTTTCAATTTCATCACTTCATATTTAGTCTTATTTTATTTTTATATCAAAATTTTCCCTTATTATTTTGATTGTTATTTATTTTATTTTGAAAAATCTTTTAAATTTTAATATTTTTTTATTTTATTCTTTAATATTAGATTAATTTAATCTTTTAAATTTTAATATTTTTTATTTTATTCTTTAATATTAGATTAATTTTTTTTAATTTTACCCTTTAGTATTTAATTGATTATGAATTAGGTTTTATTAGTTTTTGAGATTCGGTGCTTCCAGACTAATAGTCTATGTCATCTATTTAAAGAGTTAATATGGATTGACATTGTTTTTTATTTATTTAAATTTTTTTATTTCATCATTCCATATTTTTTTTTAAATGAGCTTTGTTATTTTCTTTTCTATTAGCGTATTCAAATCTCATGATCAGAACCAAGATTTGATGAATTAACTCATGTTAGCTCGGAGTCAACTCAAACAGATTTTTTTAATATTTTTTTAATTTTATTTTTTTTGTATTTAATTTACTAGGAATTAAGATACATTATTTTTTAAATTAAAAAAGGTTTTCTCCTTCGGTACATTTGTTGTAAATTTTTTATTATTATTATCTAATTAAAATGAAATCATTTATTTAATCTATTCAAATATATAATGAGAGCCACTAATATTTTTTTTCCTTTCCTAAAAAACGTGCTTAAGGCTCTAGAACATTATTTCTTATAGAAAAAATTAATCTAACTTGCGGTGAAGTGCAAACACTTGACTCATATCATATATAATTTAATGTGTAATAATTGGATGCATAGAGATATAATAAAATTTAATTTTGAACATTTGAGATACAGTAGAATACATGAAGTATGCAATTAGGATCAATGAGAAATACATCTATAACACTTTTTAGGGTCAGATTTCTTATTAGTATTATTATTATTATTATTATACTTTTTAGGGTCAGATTTCTTATTATTATTATTATTATTATTATTATTATTATTATTATTATTATCATTATATTGATTCAAATATGAATTTAAGTTTTATGAGTTAGAATACTTATATATTTAGTAAAATAGAATTTCATTTAATTGATATGAGAGTAGCTAGGAAGCAAATACTCACGAATTTAAATTTCATTCAAAGTTAAATTTGGTCAAATTCTAAAAGCTAACATGAATTAACTTAATTTGAGGCCAATGAACTCTACAATATTTTCAATTAGTATTACTGCTTTCCAACTGCTTTCAGGAGGCTAGAGATTGAGTCTCTCCTCTCTATAACCTAAAAAAGAAAGACAAAAGCATGAACTTTGAATGTCATTTAATTTCTAACTTGTTCTACGTTGCTCAATAATTGAAGACACAATATAAAACAAAGCTCACACTTGCATATACATGCATGCATGCATGCTCACTTCACAAAATTTTAATAGACATGAAAATTAATCATCTATGGCAAGGCACAGCAATAATTGATTAGAAGAAAAATAAATAAAAAATTGAAATACTCATTGAAATTAAGAATAACTACATAGAATTAGAACTCCAGAAAGTTAATTGTTGAACATCTTTTCCTTTTCCTAACATTAAGAATCTTGTAGTACCCAGCTCCAATCAGAATATCTTTTAAGGGAACCACGGTTGGAGTATGATTATAAACAAATCGCCTGTCACCAATCTGATCATATAGTGCGCTTGATTCTTTTGTCTTCGGATCATATGATATCAAAGTCTCTGAGTTCTGTATCAACAGAATACTTGCATCTTCCTTTATTGCAACTGGTCTGTAATAAGAATTTGGTGATCTTTTAACAGTATAATGTTTCCAAGACTCCTCGACTCCATATTCTTTCATAACCCATATGTTAAATTCAGGGTATTCATCATCAAATATACACAAGAAATTCCCTAACCCTGCTAAAGATGCAGTGCGCATGACTATTTGATCAGGAAGCGCAATGCTCAAGGCTTGTTCATTCTCCATGTCAAAAGAGCTTATATGGCGATCGTCTCTATTGCTAATCCAGTGTAAAGCTCTATTCAGAGGAACTGCACGTATCAGATGAAGGTGGCCTGGGATATCAATATTTCTCCAGGAATTGCTTCCTAGTGTGAAAATTTGTCCTGATCCTGGAAAATTTCCATATCCTACCCTTACTCTAGGCATTAGAATCTTGCACTGCTGATTTTGTGGGTTGTAGAAAAACCCAATTGGCTCAAAAACATGCCATCCTTGCTCTACTTTTGGTCCTGTGATCCCAACGTACTCTCCTGTAATAGGATTGCAGATGTAAAACTTTTTCTTCATCCCGTGAATTTCCGACAAACAAAGCAAGCCATTACTCGAACCCACAACTTTGCCTCGAAAGGTATTTTTCGGGAGCTTAAATTTTGTTGGCATACTCACCATGGCATTATTAATATTACTGCTGCGAGAGCCATGGATATGACAGCAATATAGCTTAGTCTTATTGCCTGAACAATGACAAAACAAGAGGCTGCTGGGTTTTGCCTTGGCGAAGTGCAGGTGTGCGAAATAAGGAGTTGAAAGGAGGTCACGCCAGGATTTACAAACGCTTTTGCACTGCGTCATGGCCTGGACAGGTAGTCTTGAAAGAATATCGATGAAGATTTCAGCTGGTAGCGTGGGCGTGGATGATGGTTCTTCAAGACACTCTCTCTCATATAACCTAGTTCTATATCTTTTCGCCATTGCATATATCAGCAAAAAATTATAACCTTGCTAGTGATTAGCTCTCGTTCGCATAGAAGAAGAAAGAGATGTCTCGTATATATATGAAATTAGGAGATGGAGAACATCTTAATTACGTTTGCGTAATCCAAAAGGATTTTATGTCTTATTTCCGAACGAATCTGGTAATTCATGCCTATCCCTAATCATGTGTACCATTTTACGTGTTTTATATTTGTTTACAGGTTTTTTTTTTTTCCTTACGAAAAAATTTTCAAGTCAATATTTTAATAATAAAAAATTACTTTCATTATTATGTGATATAATTTTATATAATAAGTGGATAAATTTTATTTTTGTTTTCTATAATATTATGTGAATGATAACATTTTGGAGGTAATTTGTGAATAAATTATATCTAAAATAATTTTGGAGGTAATATTATTATCTCCACTTATTATCTAAAATAATTTTAGATGATAAGTGGATAAATTTTATTTTTAAAAAAAAATATTTTCTGAATGATAACATTTTGAAGGTAATAATATTATTGTGTTTAGCATTAGAGTATATACCAGATCATTGCCGAAAGTTGTGAAAAACTTAACATAGAAATAGACTTTTATTGTTGACGAGCTCTAGGTTTTTGTTGATCTTGTAAAATATGTCCCTTGTGAAATAAGGAACACTCTAATATTTAAGTCAGTTTTTTAAGTGTTTGTTGATTTAAGGATAAATAAGAAAAAATTATGAAAAAAAAAAGTTTTCTTCATCTACAGATAGTTTAGAGATTCTTATATCCTCCCTTACTCTCTAGCAATTTATTTTTATAGTGATTTTTTACGGTTCACCTTTTCGAAGACAATAGTTCGAGGTGACAAGGCAAATGGTTGTGTTTTTTCAAGAATACAATCAAATGTGGCAAGACATGTGGATATGTTGAAAAAATTTCTAATGGCGAGCTTTGATTGGGTTAGCTAATGATGTCTGATTCACTGCGTCTCTCCGCTAATAAAAGTGATGGACTTAATACAAGTAGAATTCATGAGATTGTGTATAGAAAAAAGCA